ACCCCCCCCCCCCCCCCCCAACAACAACAACAACAACAACAAAACTCATCAGGATCTTCCTAAGTTGCAATCGGGCGACTCCCAGGTGATGTCTTCCCCGTCTAAATCACTGCACGGATTGAGACACGTGTCGAGCTCAATAACGTCAAGAAGTGGCATGTCTTTCCGAGGGTGCGTGTCCTCGTAAGAGAGGCCATAGCTGTAGGGGAATAATGGCTGCTGCCCGTCGCCCTTGCGGATGTTGAACTGGCATGGGTGAGCGGGCCATGTCATGGACAACCGGCCGGTGAAGTCCACCTCTCCAAAGAGCAGATCGGTGAGCCCGGGGCCCGCCTGTTTGCATGGTAGCCACGCGGCGACGAAGGCGTCTGAGAGGTTTATCTCTGCGCTGACATACAGCGGCCTCCCTGAGTACAAAATGGTAATAATTGGGGTCGTGGGTGCGTTGTCGCGTGCATGTTTCAGGCGGATGAAGTCCTCTGGGTACGTATGCCTGCCGGATCTGGACCTGTGCCACATGCATCCCAGAATACGACTCATCAACCGCTACATGGCGAAGAATGTGTGCGTACTCGTTTCGGTGGTGCATGAGGCTTTCTCCATCATCCAGGTCGCCATAGACCTCGGCGTAGGGGTCTTCGGCCATGACGTGAACAATGACGTCGTAGTCGCTGTTCAGCAGGCCTTTGCCTTCCTCGTCGTCAACCACCGTGTAGTTATTACTGTTGCTGTGCTCCTGGAGGGCCTCCAAGAGGCTTGCAGAATTGTCCACCCTATCGAAAACGTCGTCGTTGACTGGATAGGGGGGAATGACAGCAAGCATGATCCAGGACAGACTCGTTACTCGCGTTTTGAGCTCACCCTGTCCCTGCCACGCCATGGTCCATCCCCCACACGCGAGATAGGTCCATCGCGCCTTGCCCATCACCAACACCCTCATGCCGGCCCGTGGCTTCAGCGGCAACACACCGCCATTGTTCTGCTCAAATGCCACGTACCGAAACACTTAAGACTTGCTCTCTGATCTTTCTCCTCTCACCTTGAGCAGCACCGCCGACTTTTGTACGGCTTCCCTGGCGACGGCCGTGTGCTCTGGGCTGCCGATGGCGGTGATGTTGACGTCGCCTATTCTGTCCAGTGCGTTGACACCAGGTCCGATCATGCCTAGCCGGGCCTTAAGACGCAACACACGTCTGGCGGCGTCGTCGATGCGCGACTGCGGTACGGTGCCATTTCTGACAGCCTGGAGGGTTTTCTCGATAAACTTGGAGTAGTGATCGCCACCCACCGTGGAGAGGAGAAACATGTCAATCTGATAAAGGTGTCAAGTAGGGAGTTACAATGAGTGCGTGTGTGAGACAGGAGGATGCGTGCTGTACGCCCGCGTTGATGCCTTGTGGGCAGCTGTCCAACGTGCAAGAAGGTATGTCAGCGTGCGCGTTCCAGTCGCTCATGACGACCCCATCGAAGCCGAAGTGGCCCTTGAGGATCTCCGTCAGGTAGTGGTAGTGCTGGTGCATCTCTATGCCGTTGATCTCGTTGAATGAAGGCATCGTGCTCATCACCTCTATCAGGCAGAGGCAGGCACATATGGATTGGCCAAACAGTACTTGTGTACATACTCGCTTTGAAGCACCCTATGAAGGGTCTGAAGTGGACTCCGATCAATTCGTCCTCCCCCATTTCGGTGTCACCGTCGACTACACCGCCGAGTGTCCCTCCGTCACCCAGGAAATGCTTGCACATAGCTGCCACACCAGTGCCGGTTCCCGCGCCCTCTTGCAGACCGTTTATGTACGCCTGAGCCATCGATCATGTGTAGAGACTTTGCATATGCGCTTTCGACTGTGTGTATCTGCACCTCAACGAGGTTAGCCGTTACGGTTCCGTTCTCCGAAAAGCTCTCATAAGTTCTGCCCCACCTGTAGTCGGTGGACACCGCGGTGACAGGGGCCAAGATCCACGCGAAGCCCACCGCGCGGAGCTCTAGAGCAGTCACACGACCTAAAAGCACGCGGATAGAGACTGTGATCCACGCATCTCTGTGTTTCTCGCGGCCTGTACCGATTCGTCGCATGAGGTCTGGATCGCTGGCGCATCCCAGGCCGATGTTGTGGGGGAAGATGGTGGCGTGGCCGATGGTATTCAGCCCGTGGACAGCGTCTATAGCAGTGATGGACGGAATGCCCAAACGACGGCCCTCTTTGCGTTGCATCGAGTGCTGGTAATTGTTCTTTGTCGTTTGTTGAACGATCGTGGCATCTTCCTCTTTAAGCGGCCACAGCACGTTGACGTTGTACTCCTCAAGTGAGCTAGGACCCTCGCCGACAGGGTCCGTGCTGATGACCATCTGGCTGACTTTTTCCAAGTTGTGCATCTTCGCCAATAGGCCATCGATATAGTCTTCCATGGGGGCGGTCAGCTTGAATGACTTGGCCACAGGGCCTCTCACTTTGGGCGGCTCGGGCCACAGGGCACACGACCTAGATCCACACAATCGATGCACACATGTGTCAGCATGTACGCACTGACCTTGGCCCACAAAGATGGTTTGGGGTGAGGCTGGTAGTCTTTTTCTCTTCGGTAGCATGCAGAGTGCATAGCTGCGTGCTGTAGTCGTAGCTAAAGACGATGCAGGCCTCATATTGCTGACAGAGGGCCTGGCACCTAAATGGTGTCGCAACAGATCCCAGACTGACAACATCGATAGGCGTGGCATAGTAGTGGCAGCCCTGAGCGATACTGCCATCCACAAAACAAATCATAATCACTCACACTGTCATCTTTCCGTAGATTCCTAATGTCACATACCATCCCCCGATCAGCTCCTCTGTCCCGCCTTCTGTGCTTTGCTGTCCGTCCGAGGTGCAATATTTGGGCCCTGATGTAGCGAAATGGCTCTCTTGCTTATGTTGAACGTCGGTCAGTTTGTCGGTGAGAAGGAAGCACCCGTGGTCGTACGAGAAGGTGAATGCCTCGCATTCTTCCCAAGCCCAGCACTTCATCTGGCAGTGACGGGGGGTGGCGATGCCCATCATCATGTTCCGAGTGGCCATCGTGCCCTGGCGAAGACGGTAGAACACACCGTGCTCAAAGCAGCTGGCTGACAGTGGAACACGTCAGTCGTGGATGGCTGTGCCCTTTGGCTGCCTCACTTACATCCTTCATCGTCGACATAGTCAGGGATGACAGGGCCGGGGATCACTTGCGCCCCCGACCGGTTAACACACAGACAGAAAAGAAGGGCTGCAGGCAACTTCGGCCAACGGCACGTAGCCCACTTGGACGTCCAAGCTCTACGCATATAAATGTGAAAGTACGGTTTGCCGTCAGGCAATCCTGTCGTCCGATATACATTCCTTGTCGCAACAGTCCGCATTCCAGCCCACGTGCTCAATAGTCGCGCCTTTGTGTACATGTACAAACATTACATGCGTAACGGCTGCGGAATTGTCAACTGTTTTATCACCGGATGACATCACAAGAACACGCCATGGGGGCTGCAACGATTTGTGCAAGGGCGATGACGACGCCAAGGCCGTGAAGCCGAATGAGGCTCTCGTGGCCCTGCTGCTCGGTCACGTGCTCATTCGGCTGCGACAGCTGCTCGATCAAGTCGAGGAGAAAGCCATCGACCTGTCATCCACCTCATGAAAAAACGCACGGTCTTCTGCAGGGCTGGCGGGCGGGGGGACGCGCCGTCGCGCTAGGCGGCAAAGCAGGGTGAGGGTCTCGCCACCCCAACGGCCGAACGTCTCCATTTGTTGTGTTATATATAGAAGATGCCCTTCGCAAAGCTTCTTGCGCAAAGCTCTTTGCGTCAGTTTACTCCCAGTGGCGCCTCGCAATGTTGTGGCATCTGTCAGCGCTGCTCATTGCCTGTCCACGTGCCTGTCCGCAAGGGTGGCTTTGACGACAGGGACGATGTGGACGCGTCATCTTCTGAGGCCACTGAGAAGGCTGTACTGGAGGGTCTTCCGCAATGACGACGGAGATGTGGGAATCGAGTTGGCAGAGTCCCAGCGGAGCGTGATCACGCGAGCCTTACAGGGTCTGTGTGTGTATGTGTGTGTGCGTAGGTTCAGCCGAGACCGCACTTGTTCCGCTCCCAGCAGAACTCCAGTCCAGTAAGCTGCCAGTGTGCAGACGCAAACATATACATATCTCTGTACATGTCGCGCTTCATCTGCTTGTTTGCAGGCCGACGTACTCGGTTCGCTTCGCAGCGGATGGCGACGGTGCCGAACCGAGTAAGCACCGTAGTTGGCCCCTGGAACATAAACGTGGATTGCGGTACGTAGGTGCTGCCTGGGGCAGGCAGTGTTGCATGGATCACTCATGTACGTGTGCCTTTCTCTCCGACAGAGTCTGCCGCTTCTCAAGATGGGGATGCTCCGATGAGTCCCTTTGGAGGAGGCGCTTTCGGATGTAGTGATTCTCGCAAGGTTGAGCGAGTAAATGAGATAGGAGCTTCGACTAGCTGGCAAGGGACGTGAGGATGGGGAGAATGTTGTATTATCCACGCGAAATACATACGGAAGTTGATTGCGCTGCTCTCAACCAAGGCGCCTGGGTTGGCGAGTATCGTCGACAACCGCTCCTCGCTCAAGGGCTTGGGGAGACGATCCATTTTTGCCGGCATGGTGCACCTGAGCAGGCCGTTCCATAACGACATCGGCATCTGCATGACGGCGCCTCTGATGTCGACATTCTTGATGGTTTGCTCAGGGCTCCCTCGGTCGACGACTATTTCGAGTCTGTTGTCGTCACCAGGCATCTCGACGTCCATCGTAGGTGTGAGAGAGGGGGGATAAGCAGTGGTGGGTGGGAGGGATGGCTGACGGCGCCGTCAACATATGCATGTGTATACGAGGGAGAGGCAGTCGATATCGACCTGGGAGAGCTCGATGAACTCGTTGACACGCTATGGGCAGTCCTCTTCTGGTGGGCCACATACCTACGGCCTACCAGCACCTGACTTGTGTGCGTACGCTCATGCTGGTTTGGCCAGCGGGCGGAGAGGGGTCAATCATGGGCCAATCTAGATCTGGCGTGTGTGGATCTCCCGAGTGGAGAAGCCATGAGCGAGTCCAAGGCCGTCCTGGACAATAAGGAGCGGTGTGGCATGAAGGCGGGGGGCAGGACCGCCGCAGTGAGGATCCGAGATGTCAGAATTCGTCAGAATTCCTGGAAAGAACCCACACTCCGGCGATCACAGACAGCTTGCTTACTTCGGGTAAGGAGGAAACTGCTGGACAGCAGATCCAGCAGACCGGTTCGTTTTTCTGTCTGTCTGTCTGTCTGTCTGCAATGTCAGGTATGCCTACGAAAGCAAGTAGGATTTGGCTCACAGTAGTGAGATAAACAACCTGTCAACAAGTCTGTTGTCGGCTACGGACACGCCGCCGAGACAAAATAACATACGATAAACAAACGACAAACAAGACAGTCGCCGCACAGGCATCCACACACCCAGTATACTCTCAGGCAGCACAGTACCGCATTGTCTCACATACAAAAACCATTCTCCAGATGGAGAACTGCCCAACGGAACCCGGACGATTTGAAAGACAAACTTCCCAATATGCTGGAAGTGAGCCAGGCGACGTCACACCGACCAGCAGACAAGACTTCCCCTGGTCCTTTTTTCTTTTTTCTTTTTTCTTTTTTTTCCATCATGCTTATAGAGGTGCAACGAATAAATGAACGATAGTAGCTACCGTCCGTCCGTTTCTTCGTTTGCGGGGGGAACCTTTGTGCGCCAGGCTCCGTCGTGCTTCGGGGACATTTGGTTGATTCAGCATGTTTTTGCTCCGGAGATGACGTTTGGAAGCGAGTGCCGACGCTGCCATTGCTCACCACCCCGACGAAGCTGACACAGTGACAGATCCTCGTAGAAGGAGAAGACACCACAGCCCGACGTTTGCTGACACACTTCTTGACAGCGGACGATGGCAGCCATGTTGATCACGTCCTTATCGAGCTGCATGGCATCCTTCAGGTCAATCTCCTTAATGATTTCATCCTCGTCCTCATCACGTTCTTTCCCTATGTCCGGCTCGAAGCAGCCACATGGAACTACTGAAGATGGCGGCAGAAGCACCGCGGCGCCGTCAGCATCCGCATCCTCATAGAGACCCAGAGGCACTGGTCGCATGGCAGCACAGAGGGAGAGGGACGTATGCAAAACAAAACCGTGGTTTCCAAAGCACTACTTGATCGATCGCCCGGCTCCCAGCGCACCTTTGATCGTTTTCGATGGCGTGAGGGTTTCGTCCTTGCCCTTGACTGGGACGACTTGCGCATATAGCATCCTTCCCGCTGTATTCGATACTCTTGTTGCCTGTGACGTCCATCAGCTGTCGCACAGACTTCAGCGACAGCGTCTCTTCAAAGTCCTGTTTGGGAATTTCCACGAGAAATTCCCCTGCTTTCTGCTGGGCAAGGGTCTCAGGGGAGGTATCAACATACACACGCCACTTCGTTATTCCTGCACACAGAAGATGTGACCACCATGGACGCGCCACCTTGGTATTCCTGTCCGAAACGAGGAAAGCTTCTTGCTTCTTTCTGCTATTACGCATGCTCACCAGTCACGCCATTATACGCCATGTGGAGCGTCCAGTCATCCAGCTCACCAAAGGAGTCGGGGTCCTTAGCGTAGTCACTGCAGAGAAGAAGTCGGGGTGGATCATTGGAGAAGCCTTCCCAAGGCTGCAAATAGACCTAAGGAGGGCCCGCCAAATGAGACAAGTCATTCACCATTACACCCATTCTGTTTTCCCACCCGATTGGGACTAAAGCCACTGAATTCTCTGATGATCTTGGGCTCACTCTCGTACGTCACCTCATTGTAAAAAACATCAGTAGCACCCCAGCCAATCGCCAGGATTGGAGCGTCAGATTCAGTGGTGTTGATCAGATGGACACCCCCACAGCACCAGCTCCAGAGCCTGCCAGGGATTAGTGCACTTAAGCAATTCGATCTCCCACGCCACTACTTGCTTACCTCTTCGGATGCGTATACGACCACACGTTGGTCGCCGTCATTTTCTCAATATCGAGCTCCCACTCAACCACGCGCGACGCGTGGCGGCCGGGCAAAGAGCTGTCGGGGAGGTAAGTCCATGACCAATGCCTGAACTGGTTGTCGTACCTGAAAAATCATTCACTTTTTCTCTTCTGTTTTTCCTCGTATGTGTCTTTACTGACATGAGAATATTGCCTGCACAGCGAAGTTCAACAACAGACGTGTCTCAGGGCAGCCTTATCTCTCTCGCCCTTTACCATTCGGCAGCTGGTATGGAGAATGTTGGCCTATGAATGGCGGGTCGTCGGGTGACTGCTTCTCCTCCTCATCGACATCGATGAATGTGAAATCGCTATGCATCACAGAGATAAGTCTCCTCCAGATGCGTGTTTCTGTATTTTTCTGGCACACCTTATACTGCCGCCTCCCAGCCGCCACAGGATGCTGAACGCAGTGACACAGAAAGGAAATACCAAGCAGCTCTACTGACTGCTACGCGCGTACCGCGTCTTAGCACTCAAGAGGAAAACTAGGTTGGCCGTCCGCAGGGAAATGAGGTAGTTGCCATCTGCACGGGAACAGTGCAGTGGATATGATCCCGGGAACTCTTATGTACCAGGGGTTTCCACTGCACTGTTCCCGTGGTATCGCTACAACCAATGAAGACCAGGGAGGAATTTCAAAGAAGCGTCTATCGCCTATGTGGTACTCTCACGTCTTCGTGTGCGGACCAAGCTGGATCACCACCTGGCGAGTGAGGCAAAGGGAGGCACACACACTCTTCATCAGCCACCAATATGCTCCCCTACCTCCATGGAAGTCATCAATGCTTCGCCACTCAAGCACGATGTTGCCTATGTGGCGATCCAGGGGAGATTCTGATGAATTGCTGGCCCAGAAGCTGTCAGTGATGTCTGCTTAACCGTCTGGGTCTTTCACTTGCACGACATCCTCCCACATGTTGTTGACAATTGGCCAGCAGTTGTAGATGCTACACAAAGCATGGTGGGTGCCTACTAAGAAAGGTTGTTTTTGGTTTCTCACCTGCTGCCGTCCTTTAGGAGCTCAAAGGAGTGAACATTCATGACATACCCGTTGCCTGCTCTGTGCCTCTTGACCTACAAGATCAATCGGCATGTATACGCTGCGCATCTGTCGATGATGCGAACCAGTTCGTAGTGGTTGTCGAACTCGTAAGCCGCATCCGCCTCACCCAAAGTAAACGCCAGGTTGCCGTTACCCTGGACGTGCAGGTCTGAAGCGCGTTCCATTCTGGTCGCGTGCCACCACACTCGCTGGCCATCCCTTTCAAGGATGACCAGCTAAGAAAACGAAAGGGCACATACCGTTCGATTTGACATCTGCCTCTTCGCACCTGTGCCAGGCCGACAGCGCGTCCGAAGTAATAGAGCCCTTTTTCATCGGCTTCCAGCTCGCCGTTCTTCTCTTGTTGGTGAGTGGACTTCCAATGAACGCCCCATTGCGGAAGCGTCCGAGGCCGCTTCTCATCCGAATTGTGAGGATTTGTCTCCTGGTCTGGTTTCTTCCTTGAAACCAGTCGGGCGACCTGTAGAATTCGTCTTCGGCAAGAATATCAGACCGCTCCTCGTCGTCCCGAATGGTGAAACTCCATTCATAGCCTCCCACTTCAAGTGCCCCTTCATCACTCGATTGCCCATGCGATGCAACCCTCAATCCTCTGCGTACGGTGACAGTCACCTCTTCTCCGCGAGCCAGCGGTGTTCTAGGATAGAACAGCAACGTTTTCCCATCCCGGGCGAGTACCACTTGGCCGTGCACGGTCCCAGTCTTCTCTCCTTCAACACGAAACAGCTCACCCACCTCCTCGGGACCATCCAAAACCTTCCTCCCCTCACGAAGGGCGATCGATGTCTTTTCGTTGACGTGGGCAGCCTTGGGCCGAGGACTGAGGTACTCATACTGGCCCCCGCCGTACGGACGGGTGTCTCCTTCCTGGACGAATCGTTTTCGGTCGTCCAGCCGAAGCTCAAAGGGATTCCGGTCTGATTGAGTTTTCGCAGTCTTCGATGCACGAACACTCGATTCCGAGAACGCCACAGTCAAAGATGCACTAAACAACACGAGGAAAACAGCCGTCGGGGGTAAAAAGGTATACATACGCAGGGGTAAGTCACCCCGTTGAAGCCTCCTCCCTTTGATTTGAATATTTTTAAAATTACTCCCTTTCTATTTTGATTTGAGATTTTTTAATACTACTCCTTTGATTTTTTGAGGGGTTTGCGAGGTTTTGAAAATGGAGATGGCTGGCTGAGGAGGCGGCGAAGTAAGAGGGTCTGGGGGGGCTTTCCATGGCAACCCCCCCCCCCCCCCCCCCCCCCC